CAAAGTTCTCTTACCATTGATAGAATTTTACTTTTTTTTCAGTGCTTGGTTTAGGGATTTTTTTAAAGAATTATTTATTTAATTTTTATGTATTATTATTGTTTTCACTTGCTACAGGACATGCATGCTCACCAGAGAGAGACAGAGAGAAAGAGAGAGAGAGGAAAAGTGAGAAAGTAAGCCACCAGGTCTGGGCCTCAAATCATGGTCCGCTATGTGGGAGTCCAGCACTTTAACCACCACACCACCTGCCGGCCCTGGTTTAGGGATCTTAAAAGTAAGATACTGTGGGGCCAGCAGCTGGTGTCATGGTGAAGGTGCTGGACTCCCACATGGGCGACCAGAGTTCGTATCCCAGACATGGCGGCCTGAAAATCATGCCGGGTGTGTGTGCATTCATGCCCCCCAAAAGTAAAATACTGCTTCAAATTCAGGTACTTTTCTACTTTGGCAAAGTCAAAATATTGATTTCTTAGCTTAGGCACATCACAGGTCATAGAATCTGTGACGAAAACTTTTGGGAGCCTCTCTCTAAGAAAGACTTTAAGTGAAGAAGATTATAATTGAGATTTGTAATTATCACCCTCTCTACATTATTATAGTCTGATGGAAATTAGAATGTTTTGAAATCGTGCCAAGCAATTATGAGCACTATAAATTGATTGAAGAACATGATTTCACAACATTTGGGACAGTTCGAAACAGATTTTTACTCTCCTCATCACCAAGGAAAGTGCGATAGTTCTTACCTAGCCCACATAAAGCGAAGGAGTTGAGAACCTGCAACTTCATTTTACTCACAGAAAGGCAGTTGTAGTCACCGCCCTCATCTGAAAAGGCCTTCAGATTAATAAGGTTTTAGAAAAATAAGCTAAGGAGTATTTCATTCTGGCCTATCAGCACCAGACTCCAGCAGCCGTGACCAACAGGAAATGAAAGGGAAGTACGATTCTAATCAGTCCGACGCTACTTATTCTTTCAGAAAAGGCTGAGAGTGGAAGAGTGATTGTAAGTGAAAGATTTACCTTGTGACCTCCCTTATAATCCCAATGTTCTCGCCAGCAAACGTAATTCAGAAACGAGGCCCGCCATCGATGACACCCACGTAACTGGCCAGTCCCACAGCGCGTGGTTAAGTACTGTGCTGGGGAAGCCACGTGGCCATCTGCGGTGGAGTCCTGGCTGCAGCTTGAAACCCAAGCTGGGTGCCTGTGAGTGAGCGCCCAGGACCCTGACGTGATGGGCAGTGGAGAAGGACTGGCGGCATGATCATGCCCCATCGGGGTGCTTCTCCTCTCTCTCTCTCTCTCTAGTGAGCGCATGCACCTTCTGACAACGACAGAAAAATTAGACATAATAAGGGAGGCTGTGGGGACTTTGGGAAAGAGGAGATAGGCTATATTACCTATGGGCTCTTCATTCTAAGACAAATTGCCCTGCTACGATAATGACTTCCGGGGCCAGCAGGTGCTGTGCTGGTGAAGGCACTGGACTCCCACATGGCCCACCACAGTTCGAGTCCCAGACCTGGCAGCTTGCTTTCTCGCCTTCCCTCTCTGTCTCTCTGGTGTGTGTGCATGCCCTATAACAAATTTTAAATAATAATAATAAATAATTTTTAAAAACGACTTTACCCCACCCTGATAAGTAAAATATATTTGTCATAGAAATTTTAGAATCTACAGACTAACACCATGGAAACGCAGAAATTGCCTGTAATCTCACTAGCCAAAAGTACTACTAATATTCGGTTTATTTCCTACTAGTAAGTTAGTTTCCGTGCACAGGTTGATTTTGGGTTTGTCTCAAAACTCGGATGTCATTTTGTAAGTGCTTTTCTTCACTTCTATCAAGAACAATTTTCCACACCACTGTATAGCCTTCCTAGCAAACTCATGCATTTTAATATGCACTTCACGTTTTCGTTTGCTTGCTTGTTTTTGCTATAGGGAGTGTGTGCTCCCAGAAAGAGACAGAGAGAAAGGGAAAGTGAGAAATCACCCCCGGGGCGTGACCCGGCCACAATCTCTTCTCCACTTCTCTGGGGATCTTGGCACACATGCACAAGCAGCTGGTTTGTTTTTCAAGCCACTCAGTCCAGGACTTGAACCATGTAGTCAGCCCTGCGGGTTCCAGCCACCTAAACCACCACCACTGGGTGGCCCATGTTTTCCAAGTTTATTGCCGAGATAACATGATTACCGTCCCGCTAGGGAAGACTCTTGGATTACTGAGAGGGTAACATAGCTTCACCTCTGACCTTGGGAAGCAAAGCCTCAAGCTTTTTCCTTTATGAATTACCCATTTATATCTCTCTTTCCTCCTTTACTTTTATAATTTGCTAGAGGGAATGTGCACTTGCAGAGGATGGGGAGAGTAAGAAAGCACTCCCCATGGGGATAGCCGCACTGCAATCGCTTCTCGGTTCTCTCGGGATTTAGGGTGCACGCACACACGCACATGCACCAGGCGTGTCTTTCCAGCTGCTGGGTCCGGGCCTCGAACTACACGATAGATCATGTGGGATCCACCCACCTTACCACACCACTGGCTGGCTCAAACATTTTTAATAAGGGCATGCATCTTTCTCATTTTGTATTCTATTTGGGCTGCCACAAATTACTATGAAGTGGGTGGTTTATCAACAACAGCACTTTACAATGGGGAGGGGGGGGTCTTGAAAAAGTTCATGGAAAATGTGTATTATTAAAAAAAAAAACCTATGCGTGTATTTCAATTTTTTTTTTTTGCACCGAAATAAATTCTTACTTTAATTCTATTTTTTTCTTCATGAAATTTGGAAGTACTCTTGTATTTCTACAGTTCTAGAATTTGGGGTGCCCAATTTTTTTAAGAGTTTTTTTTTTTACTAAAGGGTGCATGTGCTCACCAGAGAGACAAAGATAGACAGAAAGCAAGAAATCACCCCCCCCCCGGGGGGATAGCCACACCACAATCCCTTCACTCTCTCGGGATTTCGGACACACGTGCACATGCATCCGGCGTGAGTTTTAAGCCGCCAGGTCCAGGACTCAAACCATGGTCAACCAGTAATACAACCATTATGCCATCTGCTGGTCCCATTAACCCTTAATTTTGAAATCAATTTTCGAAAGTACACTTGTCTAACATAAATCATCTGTTCTATTATAAATTACACTAACGTTCTGAGTATTCTCCTTGAGTTCGTTGCAACATCAGAATAAACGGTATCCTATTCAATTCTACTTAGGAAGTCTGCAAAGTATTGTTTTTGCTGCACCAAGTTCCAGCTCCCCCCACATCCTGTTTCAAGCAGCCGAGATTATTTTAACAAAGGTTCAACTAGCAGTTACAACGTGACTTAACTTCCTAAAAATTTTGAATGTTGCTAAATTCTGTTTCAGGATGAAAAGCATACTGTCATTGTGATAAAAGCTGGCAGGGAGAGTAAGGCTGCTGGATGCCACAGGGCCACCAACTTCAGTGTCCTGGACCCTCTAGGGAGAGTAAGGCTGCTGGATGCCACAGGGCTACCAACTTCAGGTTAGAGTCCTGGACCCTCCGCCTGAATGTCCCTTCTGATGTGCAGGTTCCCAAACTCCAGAGAGGAAAAACAGGGAGAAAGGATTGAAGCCTGGCCACCCCCTGGGGGTGATTTCTCACTTTCCCTTTTTCTTTGTCTGACCAGGGGACCACATGCTCTATAGGAAATAAATCAACACCCATCTCAAGGTAGGTCAGTAACATGTATTCGTAAAGAGAATAGAAACCAATCCAGAAGAAGCCGCTTTTACTTCTTGGAGTGAATTAGAGTGGGGGTTCGCACTGGCACCCAGAGTGAGGTTCTGTTAGAAGGACCATGTGTCACATTTCTACTCTTAACACTTGTTTGTTTTGCCAAAGGCCATGTGTGTTTCCTGGAAAGAGACAGACACAGGAAAAATGAAAAATTGGGGGGGGGCACCACAATCCCTTCTCCATTCCCCTCCTGGGATTTTTGGCCGTTGCAGGGTAGGCACCCACAGTGATTTTCAAATTGCCGGGTCCAGGGCTCTATCTGAGGTTGACGGTGTAGGGCTTCAGTGCCTTCACCACCACCCCACCTGCTGGCCCCCACATTTTCACTCTTCACAAGTCAATGAAGATGTGTATGAGGTGAGTGACTAGTCCGGGCTAAGGGCTGATGGGTAACACCAGTGGGTAAAGACCCCCTTCTGTGCTAGTCCACCTTTCAAGGCTGATTAGAGTCAGAATTGCTCTGAGCCTTGAAAACAGCTGTTTTCCTCCTTGCAAGAACTAGCCTGGAATTAAAAAAAAAAAAAATGAAGAAAGTTTGGCCTGGTTTAGATCATATTGGAAATAGTTTATTCTTCCCAAGGGCGCAGGCTCCCAAGTGACCGCGATCTCCCAGACTGGAGATCCACCAGCTCCCTGCGCACGTGGTCAAGTGTAATGACATGTTTTGAATGTAAAATGAAGAGTGCCCCAAATAACAACCAGGTTTTTCAAAGTCGGTGTTTGCCAGCAAGCGGCGTTTTGGTAGCACTCCTTTGGCAACTCTTTCTGAGCGAGCTCCAACACAAACACCTTCTTCCTGAGGGATCACGCCCGCGGTGTAGTAACCAGGTTGACTTCTCAACACTTCTCCGTACCACCTCTGGGGCAGGTGGCCAACACTGGCCGCGAACTGCTGGGTTTCACACGAGATGACCAAGGTGCGCGCGTGTGTGTGCGCGCCCGCGTGCGTGTGCGCGATCTACTTTTCTATAAGATCCAGCATTCCGAATAAAGTAATTCCTTCAGAAATCAAGTGACTGAAATTAGTGTGTGTGATCGCTCCTCTCTCTCTCTCTCTGTCTCTGTCTCTCTGCTTTAGTTTAAGAGCCCAGAACTCTAGTTTTGATTCCTGCCATCAAACCTCTGCACGACCCAGGACGGGGAGAGGGGAGACAGCAGGGAGGGGAGCCGGAGGAGCAGAAGGGAAGAGGGTGGCCGGGGCTCGCGCCTTCACTTCTTACCAGGTCCCCGCCGGGCGCGCATCACAGCATGACGACCACGAGTCCCTGAGGGCCAGAAAGCGACCCGCTCGCATCCGAGGCGCTGGGGCGGATTACGCTTGCAGGTCGGCCATTGGCTTCAGGGAGTACAAACCACTCGGCACCTAAACTCAGCCTCCAGCCCGGCGCCCGAGCCCACGACCTCCTGCTCGCCCACCCTCTCCGCCTCCGGCCTCCGCGCTGCTGCGGAGCCGCCCCCGCTGCGG